TGAATTATTTTCATGTATTTATTTTTCAGCATCCAGAACTTACTTATATCGTTTAAACAGAAACGACAAAAGTCATACGAACAATCACGTTTAAATAGGAATTGCAAAATATGTATCTATTTTGCATTTAATTCAATGTTATTATTCAATAAATAATTTTTATTAAAAATAGATATTTATCTACGCAAGTAGACAATTCTTATATGAATGAAGGAGGCCCCGTTTTAACATCAGCCCCTGGCCTACAAATACCTTAAACCGGCTCTGAGAACAATGCGTAGATTATTTGTATTCAAATTTTTAGAATTGCACAAAGATCGTCTTTACTTTCTGTAAAAATAGAGTATATATAATTACAATTATTTGAACATATAGTCTAGAAGGTAACGTATTGCTACAAAATTTAACTAAAAAGGTTTAAAAAATATGGCATTGTGTAAATACCAATATATTCTTGCGGTTTATTGAAATTAACTTGTATTTAATTATATCTTGTGTATAATAACGTAATATATGTATATTTATAATAAATATCTATAATCGAATAAGATTATGGACTGCTATGCTCAATATACACGATACACTCTGAATGAAAAAATTATATATAATTTAAAATAAATATAAAAATGATACTTACTATTCTGTGCAATTATATGTGTAATACATTTTTTTACGATTCTTATAACTGTACATTTTTTGTTCATTCTACCGCGTTTTATATTTTTACATGATATTTATGATCATTACAAAAGAATATATATACGATGACATCTTTCGTATAATATGATTCAGTACATATAAAACAAAATGAAATGTTGGATGGAATAAAATATACTACATAATGCATTAGCTAATATAATTAAAACTAAAATTTTAATCACAACCATCAAACATCTCACTCGACACGGGGTAACTGATTATTATAGAGCGATCGAGTAGTCTTGGGTCTGTTTCTTTTAGCTAAACTGGCTGCACTAGTCAGAGATTGCCTTTTTCCTTCTGCATTGGACATTATTATTTTCAATAAATCTGATAATAAAAACCGAGCTCTTTTTGCAATGTAATATTTGAAAACGAAAAATGATTACATTAGTTAGAGAATTTTATTGATAATTGATGCTTTAATAATAAAATCGCAGCATAAACTCTTGCATAACGCATACGCATAAGAAAACTGATTGGTCAATAAATAAATGCATAAGGCCGGGTCTACATAGGTGTAGTAAGCCTTAAACCGTAAGAATTAACCAATTATATTCATTATTCTTCTCTAAACTCAATTGTGATTGTTAATTTCTTATGGCTTAAGGCTTACTACACCTATTGTAGACTCGGCCTAAGGAATTGAATCAATTAAATTTCTTATGCATATGTGTTATGGAAATCTAAAACATACATATATTTCACGAAAAGAACGAGCTGAAGCGTACGCCTTCTGCTTGCTTGCAGCTCGCGCGTTCCTTACTTTTGTCACACACTCATACTTTTCGTTGACGTGTTAGAATAAATTATCGCTGGCAAATCTAAAACATATTTCATAATAAATAATTTCTAATTATACATCTAATTAAAAATTGTCTTATTAATGTCATGTTTGATGTCATTTTAATTGATTGAATCTCATTAATCCATTACATTAAATTTCAATAAGTGTGTGACAAAAGTAAGGAACGCGCAAGCAGCGAACGGGCGGAAGGCATACGCTTCAGCAGGCTTACTGTTGTCACGTCCTAGTGATCTTCCTACTCTCTCTATTCCTAGACTAGAAAGAATGGGGTGCTCTCTCTTTTTTATGAGGCAACCTGCTTATACCGGCTATACCTCAGGAACGTCGAGAGCACGGACTATACTGTGGAACTAGGAGACCGAGTGTTGGTACGTTGGGGACGGGGGAATTTTAGTTACTAGTGAAAAAAGGATTTTTACTAGCAATTTTTTCTAAACTATCTAATGAATTTATCAATTGATCGACTGTAATTTCACCATTTAAATAGTTGTTAACTAATAAATTCAATAGCGAAAATATAATATAACTCTAAAATTTAAGGTCTTGAGAATCCCTCATGGGGTCCTATTATTAAACAATTATTTAAATTACACGAATTATCGATTTTCGCGAAGTCTCGCGTTTATCGTGTGCAATGGATCTGGAATGTTATCTAAACAGACGAGAAATTGGTCTAAATCGATGTTTCCCTCTAAAACGTCTGTTAGTAGGGCGATAATTATACTTATTATTGTATGAATTTCTTCGTTAATTAATTTCTGGTTATCTTCAATAGTACATTCTGATGACATTTGAGAAATAATTCAAATATTTAAATAACTAGCATATTGATCGATTTTAAATGAGATATCCGGACACTGTTCTTCTAAGAATTTTATTAGATCCTGAGAGATTTCCTCTTCTATTTCCGATACTAAATCGCACAGTTCTGTGAATAATGATGATTCGAAAATGTCGTCGTTAAAATAAAAAAAATTAGGTAGTTTGTCTATTAAGGGTTTGATCTTTGTGTCTGGGAAGATTCTTTCGTCCGTAAAGAGGGTTTTGTCAAGGGCTTGTCGCTGAAGCCAACGTAAGGTAGATGCGGCGCGGTTAGCGCGAGTCTTTTTCCCAGCTCTGTGATTATGTTTATTCCGACGTGCGATCTTCTGTTTTAATGTCTTCATGGGGCATAAATAATAGTGAAGTATCTAATTTAATGAGGGAATATTGTCAGGGAGATATTAATAAGGAAAATGTACTGATAAAGATTGAATCAATGTCGTATTAATATCTTCGTTAATTTACCGCAGAATCCCGTCAATTGTATTTAGGTAGACATTAGGAGAATAGTTAAATATCTAGATAATTAGCATATTAATCGATTTCAAATAAATTGTCTGGACACTGATCTTTTAATGATTGTATCAAGTCCTTACGATGAGTTTGTTTCTGAGAAGTATCCTCTTCTATTTGTGATACTAAATTACACAGTTCTGCAATTAGTAACTGTTCTGAGAATTGGTCTTTTATTGTTTGTACTTCGTCCGTAGGATAAAATTGTTCCTAAAAATTATTTCTTTCTACTTGCGATACTAATTCGTGTAATTCCGTGATTAGTAACTGTTCTGAAGAATCGGTTTCCGAACTAAATATATTAGATGGTTCGTCTGGCAAGGATTCTATTCCGGAGTCAAGGAGAATTCCTTTGTCTGAAATTAGTGATAACTCTGAGAAGTTAGTTCTGAGATTAAAATAATTAAGTGCTTCTTCTATTAAGGAATCAATTAAACTTGGTAGTTCAGGAGTTGAGAATTCAAATGAATTAAGAGATCGGTTGATCGAGGGTTCGATCTCAGTATAAGGGGGAATTCCTTTGTTTGCTACGAGGTTATTGTCAAGATTTAGTTGAATAGATGAAGTCTTCAATCTTTATATAGTCTCCAAAGAAAAGGTAACCTTTTCACACGATTTGACGCGAGGTCTGGTGACCGTCGCTTGAACCAACGTGGAGTAGATGCAACGCGGTTAGCACGAGCTTTCTTACCTGCTCTATGATTACGTTTCCTTCGATATTTGATCTTTTGTATTAATGTTTTCATTTATAATACGTTTTGGAATAGTAGAAAAATGGTTATCAATTTAATATAAGGATACTAATGAGGAGGATATACTGGGGGAGATCGCGTTAATTAAACCAAATCCAAATTACTAAAGAATTTATCAAAATAACATTTGTTAAATTATTGACACCTGGTATCGTTCTATTAGGAAGAAGAGGGTTGAGGGAAAAAATCTATATTAAGGCGGTAAGGTGCGCGACATAGACAATGGAGTTCTCGGAGGTAGAGAAAAAAGCTATATCGGGGCGGCAAGGCGCGCGACATAGACAATGGAGTTAAAGGTGTTGGTGGGAGAATAGTTTTTGGTGCGTTATTCAGTGCTCGGGGCGATGAAAATATGAGGTAAAGAATGAAGGGAATTATTAGAGTGATAACAGAAGTTCTGTCTTTATGTTAGAATCTATTATCTAATATTGATGTATCTTCTCATTTGTACGAATTTGCGGCAACGCAGAGTGCGAACCGGAGTGCGAGTGAATAGTGATAAAGACCACGGAACACAGCACAACGACACGAAAGAAAAAAAACAATGTTAACGAAGACGGCACTGTATTTTTACACTATTTACAAAAAAATGCAAATCGCGTACTGGTGGCGTGATACACTGCACAGATTGCAAGAAATGCAATCGACAAAACGACTTGAGTATGCGCGAGAAGTGTGATACTACGGAACTTTTGTGAAAAAAGGCGTAAAGAAAACTCTCGGTCTGTGCGTGCGAGCGGCGACAAAACAAGTGCGAAAAGGCGCGCGGGAAAACAGTTTTATCCCGCCGACCTTCGAGAAGATTCTAATGTAAAATTACCAAATTTGTAATTTTGCAATGTAATGATATGGAATCTTCTCGAGTGTCGGAGGACAAAACTGTTTTGACTTTGCTGTTTTTGTTTGACCAGCCCACGTAAACGGGCTGGCGACAGCCGAAGGCGTTTTGCGCGCAAAACGCGCGCAGCGTGATTACTCTCTCTCTCTCTCTTTCTCTCTCTTTTTCGGTGTGGAGTGTTGCTGTGCAGCCAACGTGGCAGTCGGATCTCCTCCAGCGACAGCAATTTCTCTTCGAAGGCTGTCCATGCGGCGGTGTCCTCGCGTGATAGCGGTGCGTCCCATTCGAGCTGCTGCAATCACGCCGACTGGATCAGCAACTTTGCACGCACGAGGATCGGTGCTAGCCAGCCCAGCAGATCGAACAGGCGAGCGGTCTGTGCCAGTACGGTCTGCTTGGTAGGTGGGGCCGATGGAGTCAGCCGAACAGACAGCGAGAGGGTGTCCTCGTGCGGATTCCAGCAAAGACCCAGCATTGAGTGCTAGTCTGCAGGTAATCTCGCGCCGATCGTCGTGCCCAGCTGATGCTCGACCGGGATGATCTCCAGGAGGCGGTTGTCGTTGAAAGCTCACTTCCTCAGAGAAAAGCCGCCCGCCATGCAGAACGAGGTTACCTGTCCCAGGAGGCAGCGAGCCGTGTTCAGGTCAGCAGCTCCGGTAAGTATGTCGTCCACATACACGTCGTGCTGCAGCACGTCGGCACCGAGCGGGAAGCGGTTGGTTTTGTCCGACGCAAGCTGCCGCAGCACTCGTATGGCAAGGTATGGTGCGCTCGCCAAGCCATACGTGACCGTATTTAGCCGGTACTTGTTGACCTCGTTGTCTTCTGCCCACAGGATCCGTTGCAAGTCTTGATTGTCCGGATGAAGTTGGATTTGCCGGTACATCATCTGGACGTCGGCGATAAAGACGTACCGGTGCCGCCGCCATCGAGTCAGGACATCAGCGAGAGACGGCAGCAGGTTGGGCCCAGCGTGCAGCACACCGTTGAGTGATGCCCCGGCGCCCGTGCGAGCTGATCCGTTGAAGACGACGCGGATCTTGGAGCCGGCAGTCGAAGTCCGCAGCACCCCATGATGCGGCAAGAAGCTGATCCGGTGATCACCTGGTGAAGCCACAGTAGAGGCAGCGAGTGTCATGTGCTCGAAGGTGATGTACTCGAAAATAATACTCATGAAATCGCGATACAGCACCCCAAAATTGTCGTCGCGATTGAAGCGACGCCTCATGACGTCGAGGAGACGTGATGCGGCGCGATGGGTGGAGCTGAGGTCCGGCAGCCTCGATCGCAGCGGGAGTCGAACCTGATAGCGGCCGTCGGCTAGTCGTCGATGGGTACGCAAGAAGTGGTCCTCGCACACCTGCTCGTCAGCGGTCAGCGGAAGGACGGCACGGGGAAGCTCCTCCGTTTCCCAGAAACGACGCACCAGCTCAGCAAGGTCCTCTACTGTGATGCACTGCAACGACGACACGGGGTTCGTGATGTGGCAGGCCCCAACGGCGCCCAACAGCACCCATCCGAAGCGCGTCAGCAACGCTTCTGGCTCCTGCGGCCCTCCTCTACAAAGACCCTCCGGCATGACGATATCCAGGTAGACGTCTGCACCGAGCAGCAATTCCACGGGATCCTGGCGGTGGAATTCAGAATCCGCGAGGTCGAGGTCATCAAGGTGCGGCCATAAGCGAGCTTTTCCCTCAAGAATGCCACCGTACACGGTGAGGCGCGGCAGCACGAGCGGTGATGCGGCGAGCGCGAAGTGCCCGTCGCGCGAGAAGACGGTGACCGCTGTTCGCCCTCGAGATACGCCTGACTGGATGCCACCTACTCCGAAGATGGCTACTGAGGAGGGAGTCCGCGGTAGGCAAAGGCGTTGTGCCAGTGATTCCGCGATCAGTGATGTCACCGAACCCGGGTTAATCAGGGCGCGGACGTCGTGGCGAGTGCCCGCGCGATCAACCACTAACACGCGTGCGGTTGCCAGAAGCGCTGATCGACATTCCACCGTCGGTCGCCTGGCGACGTGGGTCGTCATCGCGGAAGATGGTCCGGCAGCAGGTAGGGCCACGGCGGTGAAGGCGTCGTGAAGAGACGAATGGTGCTTGTCAGAGCACTTCATGCACACCTTGGAGAACGTGCAAGGAGATGTTGACCCAAGCAGTTTCAGCACCGTTGGTGAGTATTGATTGCCTCTTTTTCTCACACACTGTCTCTCTTGTACAGTTCACAGTACGCGATGAAATGATCCTTTTTACAAAGCAAACAGTTGCGGCTTGGGTCTGATCCCTTGCTCCCCACGTGGTTTGTGCAAGCGGCGCGGTTGGACCTCTCTAAGGGCTTGGTCGGTGGTTCGGGCCTGGTGGACTGGAGGACCTCCAAGGTCATCAGCTGCTCTTGCAGAAACTCCCGGAGCGTGTCGTATGACGGCGGCTCAGCAGACTTGCCAAGCAAACTCTCCCACTCGCGTCGAGTTTCGGCGTCTAGCAGCTCGACGACCAGGTGCACAAAGAGATCGATGCAGTCACTTATCGGACGTCCAATGCCTTTCAGCGCGCCGACTGTGGTGAGTACACCGTGAAAGATCCGACGGATTCTATCGGCCGAGGAAGCCATCATCCGCGGCAGCGAGGTAAAAGCCGTCAGACGAAGGCACGAAGAGGCGCTTGTTCTCAAAATATGTCGTCAGCATGTCCCATACCTGTTCCAGGTTGTCTTCCGTGGAGGGTAGGTTCCGGATGAGCTGCTCCGCGTCGCCCTTGACACTCGTCCTGAGATAGTGCAGCTGCTCGATCTTCGTCAGGGATGGATCCCTGAGAATGATGAAGCAGAACAAGTCCTGGAAGCTTGGCCAATCCTCGAACTTGCCGTTGAATTGAGGCAGATTGATGCGTGGCAAGATTTTGCGGGACGGCGCGCTTCCTCGAGCCCTCTCGGAGATGTTAGCTGCTAACGGCTTGGAAAGCCTTTCCTCCATCTCGGCGAGTTCGGAGCGTTGTGATACGCCGTTTCGATCTTGCTTGGGAGGTCGTTACTGAGGTGTACACATCGTGCTTGATTTCCTTCCAGTATTTGTCGCGGAGCTCCTCGTGCAGCTCCTGAAATCTGGCCCATTTGTCGTCCAGAAGGCGGATCGCAGCTTGGATGGTGTCCACGTTCAGCTTGGCCGCTCCGATTTTTCGTAGATTGTCGATACTACGTAATATACGCACGTGAAGTTCGTGCTGAGCGTCAATCAATTTATCCATTTTGTCTGTCACAGGTCACAGCGGTCGCGCACACACTTGACTGCAAGCACCGAAGATGCCAGACGCGACGAAGACGCGGAAAATCCGACTCGAAGGACCAAAAAAATGTGCGAATTCGCGGCAACGCGGAGTGCGAACCAGAGTGCGAGTGAATAGTGATAAGAACTACGGAGCACAGCACAACGACACAAAAAGAAAGGAAGACAATGTTAACAAAGACGGCACTGTATTTGTTTAGGTTGATAATCGGCTGATATCGTTTGCTGAACGATCGGTGAGCAAGGAATGAGTAGGTGTAGTAACAAAGGCTTCGTCGGTTGTCAAACACTCCTTTTATTTTTTGTCACTGGACGGTGACTATGGTGTCGTTTCTCAGCGCCTAATCGTTTTTCGCTCGTCCTTCTTTCAATGGGATCGGATTAAACGCCGTAGCGCGGAGATATACAACTTGTGCAGAAATCGGTTGACGCGCCTTACGAAGAATACAGAGCGATAAATTTCAATATAATTTGACCGGCTTGTTATTGCTTAGACGGCAGAACGCTGACTCATCTTGGAAACGGGCATCGGATCGCTCGAACCTGCCGGTCTCCGAGAAAAGTGGAGAATTAACGAAAATAAGAGCGCAGACAATGACAGGCTTTGTAATGTTTTTTACCGTTGAGCTGTGTACTCGCGCGTGCGCATACAATACAAAAGTCGAGGCGAGCAATAATCACAGAAACGATTCCGAAACAGTATTTTTACACTATTTACAAAAAAATGCAAATCGCGCACTGGTAGCGTGATACACTGCACAGATTGCAAGAAGTGCAATCGACAAAACGACTTGAGTATGCGCGAGAAGTGCGATACTACGGAACTTTTGTGAAAAAAGGCGTAAAGAAAACTCTCGGTCGGTGCGTGCGAGCGGCGACAAGATGAGTGCGAAAAGGCGCGCGGGAAAACAGTTTTATCCCGCCGACCTTCGAGAAAATTCTAATGTAAATTACCGAATTTGTAATTTTGCAATGTAATGATATGGAATCTTCTCGAGTGTCGGAGGACAAAACTGTTTGACTCTGCTGTTTTTGTTTGACCAGCCCGCGTAAATGGGCTGGCGACTGCCGAAGGCGTTTTGCGCGCGAAACGCGCGCAGCGTGATTAGCGTTAGGCGATTGACGCGAATTGACGCGCCAAATTTGATATTGCAAAATATCAGTTTTCCACACTGCATTCCTCGATTCTCACAAATCCACACATGCATGCGTACATGTACACACACACACCCTCTCTCTCTCTCACTCTTTCTCTTTCTCTCTCAACTCTCTTTTTCTCTCTCTCTCATCCGCAACATTATTGATAGTACATTTGGAAAGTGATTGGATAATGATTGAAAAAAATCTACGCGACTTTCGAAACTCGTTCGAATTTTTATGTAATGCTGGAGTGTTGGATAATCTGTGTGATTAACAGATTCCTACCTTTAAGACGACGAACTCTTTGTAGACCTGTGATGTGCTTGGCCAGCTTCGCTTCCTTGCAAGGACCTCGGTCGTGGGGTGCTTATGGCGAAATCAAACACTAAGTTGTACGATGCTCTGAAGTTCTTTATTCGTTTTTAACCCGATTACAACTGGTGCGCAATTAAGAATTAAGAAATCAGCGAGGTGGACGGCTAACCGTGACTAGAATAATGTACTAAGTTACAAATTTACGCGAGGTTACAGCAATTAGGCGTCGTTGACAAAGTTATATATATTTTTCGAGATTTGCGGTATAAATCGTTATGATTTTTTTAGGATGGTACGAAATTGTTGCTGTACTTCTTGGCTAGCGACAATTTAAAATGTACGAGTAACTTTTCGTACACTGTAACTTTTCTATGATGAAATGTCGTCGCATGGCCAGATTTTCTAGGATTTATATACTCCTCAAAAACGAAAAATCTTGGTGTTGTGTGCAAATTTTTGGGTGGGAGGATTCTCACGAAATCGCTTTCCTAGGAAGATATCAATCAATTCTCTTATAAAAGGGGGTGGTTTGGGGGTCCTGAGAAGGCAATGAGTGAGCTCTTCTTTTAACCAAATATGGTCAATAGGATCTATCATGACCATATGAGGTGATAGGCGACGAGAAAATCTAAGAGAGAATAAGTCGTAAAAGTCTATGATTTGTTGATTCTCGAGGTTCATGACGTGCAGATGTTAGTATCCCGAAAGGCGCGGGGTTGCTTATCGTATCAAGATCGGGGGCGGTCCGGGCGACAAAGAAAGTTCAAACGGTAGCCGCACGTTGGAGTTTCTATTGTTCGCTTGCTAGCTCCTATACGTTTCTGAATCATTCTTTATATAATTCTCTGCTATATTCTAGTTATTGCAATTTAATATAATAAAATGAAGTTATGATTGCTAAATTATATAGTTATAATTGTGTAGTATATATTGTTATAATGTAGTATATATTGTTATATAGTTATATGTATAATTCCAGCGGTTGCAGATCCGAAGAAAATGAATCCATTCCAGACTCGTGAAGCGGCTATTTTATTAAGCGATTGTTCGTCCAACAGGTTATACATGGAGACGGCATCAGGATTGATGGAGTACCAGTAATTCCTCTTGCGATTATATTAAGAAGAGCGGGTTTCTCGGCAGAAAACATGATGTAATCCCTTAATTTTTTTATATCGTTTTCGGAATATATTCCACTGATAGCCAGGGGTCCCGGCGTTAGGTAATCCCAACTTAAAGCTGTTATTGGTTTTAATTGTTGCGGAGGTTGTTGTCTAATTTGAGGCTCCGGTGTGAATTGAATCCAAGTTTTCTCGATGCGATACATCGTAGGCAATTCTGAGCTGCATTCTTTTTGGATTCCGAATTTGGTAATTATTCGAGATGTAGGAGTAAGGAACAAAGAAGAGTTATGGACTGTTATAGGCAATTTTGTATAACATTCTTTTGTTTTTCTCACTATAACGTCCACAGGAATACATTTGATAATGTGAGTTGTTTCTCCCGTAGTGACGGCTATGTACCCAGGTCCTTTCATTAATCGATATGCAAATTTATCCGGTTGAAGAGTGGCGAACGACAGGGCGTTAATAATTATATGTCGTTCTAATTCACATTTTTGTTGCATGACGTATAATATAATGAAGTCATTTGTTGTCGAATATGTTTTTCCACATATACACATTTGGAATTCATATATGCAAAAATGTCTAAATTATCCACGGGGATAATACCGCGACTAGCAAAAGTGTCTCCCTTTTTGTTTCCAAAATAAACAATTTAGGGTGTTCCGTGTGGAATAAGGGTATCCACACAGAGGCTGTTCTTTTGTCTTTGTGAGAGCAAAGGTGATGTCCTGCGTCGTCAGGCTGTAAACGATCGCAGCAGGAGGGTTGCTTGAATCGTCGGTGATTCTGGTCGCAGGTCCCTCGTAAAGAACGTCGTATTGGTGAAAGTTGCAGGTAGGTACGTGTACAGGTTTCTAGTAAGTGTATCCATTTTCTGAATCAATGCAAAATCCTTCGCTTAATCGGCAAATGGTTCCGGATTTTAGCATTATTTTTCCTGAATTTAATTGCACAGGAACATGCGTTGCTTCTCAGGGAAAATTTTGACAGCAGCTTGACGATAACGTTGTCCCAAGTTCCGTAAGGATCGGAGTACTGAGTTCCTTTGCAAGTTCCGTCATTACTGATACGGCCAGCTAATGTAAGGCTGTGATAGGTAGTCTGATTAGCTCTTAATTTTTGAATAACGTTGCTTCAAAGGAGAAAGTCCCTTCGTAGAACATCTTTCGACATACAGTATATCCAGTTTCGTGAATGTATTCTGCTCTTCCATTATTAACTATGGAAAAGTGCGAATGCATTCCGCAGTAATAA